ACCATCAGCACTGGTGCCCCTCAGGGATGTGTGCTCTCCCCACTGCTCTTCTCCCTCTACACCAACGACTACACATCTAAAGACCCCTCTGTCAAGTTCCTGAAGTTCACAGATGACACCACACTTATCGGCCTCATCCAGGACGGAGGCGAGTCTGCTTACAGAAAGGAGGGTAAAGAGCTGGCTGTCTGGTGCAGTTATACTTGGATCTGAACACGTTCAAAACAGGGGAGACGATAGTGGACTTCAGGAGAAACCCCCCTGCACTCCCCCCACTCACCATCATGGACAGCACTATGACAACAGTGGAGTCATTAAAGTTCCTGGGCACAACCATCTCTCAGGACCTGAAGTGGGAGTTCCACATAGACTCCATTGTCAAGAAGGCCCAGAAGAAGCTGTACTTCTTTCGCCTACTGAGTGCCAATTGCAGCGGATAGTCTGGACTGCTGAGCGAATCTGCTACAACCCTCCCCACTCTCCAAGAACTGCACTCATCCAGAGTGAGTAAAAGGGTTGGCAAAATCATTCTGAACCCCTCACACCCAGCCCACTTCCTCTTTGAACTGTTGCCGTCTGGTTGGCGCCACAGAGCACTGAGCACCAGAACGGCCAGGCATAAGAACAGTTTCTTCCCTCAACCAATCCATCTCATGAACAGTTAACTTGGCAATAAACGTGTAATACACAACTGTCACAGTGTCTGGTTGTGCTGCCCTGGACTGGCCACTTGAGGGCGCTCTTTCTGTTTCTGTGTTACATGTTTTGAACTCCGTTTCCCATAGTCCTTTGCTTTGTCGTTTTGTTCTGATCATTATCACCTGTTGGCAATTTACACATCATTTCATCACTACTTATATCATGCTCTCACTGTCTGTCTTTGCTGCAGTATTGTTTGAGTTACGTCGTGTTCTCTGTTCCCTGTGTTTTGAATTTACCTTTTGCCTAGTTTTCGTTCTGTTTTGGATTATTTGTTATTTTAATAAACTTACTGCACTTGGATCTAATTTTGTTTTCTCCTGGCATTCCGTGACAGAAGGGAAACGGAGTTCAAAACATGTAACACAGAAACAGGAAGAGCGCCCTCAAGTGGCCAGTCCAGGGCACCACAACCAGACACTGTGACATTACCCCCCTCTATGGAGGGGATACCAGACGCTCCACCAGAACACACAAAAGTTCAGGAGGGAGGTGGAATTGAGGCGGACCAGGGGGAGGGACGGCGGGCCAGGACCATACAATGGAAGGGGGCCAGGGGACAGAGATAGACCAGGGCATGAGCACAGAACCGGCAGGGTGAAAGGCCAAGGCGGGGCCAGCAGGATGAACCAGCAAGGCCCCAACCACACAGGAACCCCAGCAGTTAGCCAGGATGGAACCAGAGGAATGAGCCAGTGAGGCTCCTTCCAAACAGGAACCCAGGCGGGCAACCAGAGCAGAGCCGGAATCCTGCCAGGCAACACTGGTGGGACAGAAAACCTTCTCAGTGACTCAGGGAAACAAGAGCAGAGAGAGTTTAGTACCAACCTCGATGGCTGCAACAGGACAGGCTGATTGATCCGCAACAGTCCCTGTGAGCTCCCAGACTGGAGTGAATTCCTTAATGAGCTCTGAGAGGTCCTGAACTGGAACAGGCTCTGAATTGGACCTTACGAGCTCCCGGACTGGAGCGGGCTCTGGAGCGGGCTCTGGAGTGGACTCAGAGGGCTCTTGGACTGGAGCGGGCTCTGTAATAGACCTTGTAAGCTCCCAGATTGGAGCAGGCTCTGGAGTGGGCTCAGAAGGCTCTTAGACTGGAGTGGGCTCTGGAATAGACCTTGTAAGCTCCCGGATTGGATTGGGTTCGGGAGTAGGACGGAGCTCTAGCATGTCCTCTGTCAGGCCAAAGAAGTCCTCCTCGACAAACAGTGCACCAGCAGAACAGCAGAAGGGAAAATCCAACAGCAGCTCAAAGAGAAAGAGCTCCTGGAGCGCATTCAGAAAGCTATAGCCTGCACCTACTTCCTGCCTCTCGGCCGCGACCGCCTTTATCGCCGCTACTGGATTTTCCCTTCTGCTGGTGCACTGTTTGTCGAGGAGGACTTCTTTGGCCTGACAGAGGACATGCTAGAGCCCCGTTCTACTCCTGAACCAAAAATAGAAGAGCTTTTCGCAGCCAAGAGCCCAGTTAAGACCGATGCCAACACTGAGGAGCCGGTGCTGGTCCAGAACACGTCGCCGCCAGTCAACCGGCCCAATCAGTGGTTCTTCTACAGCACACCTGAGGAGGTGGAGCAGCTCATAGAGGCTCTGAACCCTCGTGGACGCAGAGAGAGCAGCCTTAAAGAGACTTTGCTGCAGGAGAAGGAGCGAATTGTTCAACTGATGGATAGCAAAGCTGCTCAGCGGTACTATCACTCAGATGAATCCCTGCCAGAGACCAAAGGAAGTACTTTAAAGATAAAAACTAGGCAAAAGGTAAATTCAAAACACAGGGAACAGAAAACACGACGTAACTCAAACAATACTGCAGCAAAGACAGACAGTGAGAGCATGGTATAAGTAGTGATGAAATGATTAGTAAATTGCCAACAGGTGATAATGATCAGAACAAAACGACAAAGCAAAGGACTATGGGAAACGGAGTTCAAAACATGTAACACAGAAACAGGAAGACCTCAAGTGGCCAGTCCAGGGCACCACAACCAGACACTGTGACAACAACACTATTTATACATTTATTTATTTAACACACATAACTCTTTTTACATTTCTTTGCATTTGTACATAACACACGTACACACAAATACCATTTATTGTCTTCTTTGTATATTGTGTATTATTAGTATTTGTTTTTTGTATATTATTTCCTATTTTTATTCTTTTTATTATCTGTGTCTTTTCACTGTCATTCTGTTTGTGTTGTGGAAGCTTCTGTCACCAAAACAAATTCCGGTAACACTTTAGAATAATGGTCCGTTGTTAACAAGTAACTATGCAGGAAGTAATAGGTAGTACTACATTAACACTTAACTTAATACTATTAACTAATAGAGAAGCAAGATTAACTAAGCAATAAGTAGTAGCAAATTTAGGACAAAGGTAGTTCCTTATTAGGTATTTGATAATTATTAAATAAAAATATCCTCATTGACAACTACTTGTGAACTATGACCAGTTAATAAAATATAACCAATTAATTACTAATCACAACAGTAACGTCTTAAAAGTGAACAATTGGGTTCTTTGTGGAAACTAATTTATGAATATGATATCCCCCAAATAAGTCGGCTACAGGTTGGATGATCAGAAGAAATGGACAGCACCTGAGTTAAATATATGAGTGTCACAGCAAAGGGGCTGAATACTTAGGACCATGTGATATTTCAGTTTTTCTTTTTTAATAAATCTGCAAAAATGTCAACAATTCTGTGTTTTTCTGTCAATATGGGGTGCTGTGTGTACATTAATGAGGAAAAAAAATGAACTTAAATGATTTTAGCAAATGGCTGCAATATAACAAAGAGTGAAAAATTTAAGGGGGTCTGAACACTTTCCGTACCCACTGTATATAATTTTTACTTAATAATAATTAATATATTAATAAATATAAAATAAAAACTAATGATTACTAATCATAACATTGATAATTTTTTGACCCTTTAAAAGATAACCAGTGATTAACTTATAATAACAAATTTGGCATGTTTACAGTGAATTACATGGACTGATTTGGTTGATAATAATATCTGGGTCACTTTATGCACATTGTAGGCCTACTCATATGCTTTCTGTTTCAAACCTGTCCTTCAAAGCAATTTGCATCTCTAACTCACATCTACTGGAATTTCAGAAAGTAATATAATTAGGTAGTTCTAATCCTCAACTCCAAGTTGGAATTTCCACAAGATTTCCACCTTCTTTCAACTACTTGCCAGATGGCCTTGAATGCGTAATGTATGATAATACATGATAAAATATACAGCTTTGGACACATCCATATTTCACTGTACATTAAATATTTGTGGGTGGATCTGATTGTTGTTGCAGCCACCAGAAAAATATAACAGGCCTCAGATGCATCATTACAAATATCTTAGAACTACCCATAACTTCTGCATCAAAGGAGCGCAATTTCCTTTATCACAAAACATTAAAGTGCCAGAGGAAATAAAAATATGCCAAACATTAAAATATAAATATAATTTAAAAAAAATCTAAATATGTCTATAGATTGAAACATGCTAGTTATGCTATCATCTAAAACTAGTAACAAAAGTAGGAGGATGTTTGTGAAATTTATTCAATTGTGACTCTACCATAACTTTATGACGTGTCATAAATTTTCAATTAACAACCATTAGTGAACTTGTTTGGCTTTTAGAACTTGTGTAAGAATGAATAATTTAAGGCTTTTTGAGCTTCATATCCGCTGTACTGTTTAACAACTAAGCTTTGTCTCTCTGATGTTTTCCTGTGATGGCTTCTCTGTCCCAGATAACAACAGCAGGTCTTAGAAAAAGATGGTCTCAGTCCATCAACGTTTAGGTTATGGGCTCAACATGCTCCCACCGGGACTTGAATCCCTAGTGTATGGCTTAGAAAGCCAGTGTCATATCCATGAGGTAACTGAGACTAGCAGCACATGTAGGCCTACGAATACAAAGAGAAAACTTCAGAGATTCTTCTGAAATGTCCTTTGATCATTATTAATCAATTGTTAAAGATATAACCTAATTTTCCTTTTAAAGTTCAACAATCTTTAGAAAACATTGTGAGAGATCTTCAGCAGCATAAAGTGGTTTAGTTCGCCCTCTTTTGTCGGCGACCGGAACTTTCTCATATTGTCAGAGACCCAGACTTTTCATTTTGTACTTTAACCTTGAGATAAACCGTGAAGCACTGGATGTTTTGTAGATAAACAAGTGTGAGATAAATGGTTTGACGTACAAATTGGATTTTTATGTTTCGGTCTCTTGTTTTTCACAGTACCTGCATCAGAAAAAAAACACAAAGCACTCTTAAATGCATCATTGCAGTTTATTTGTATATCGGTTTACAATTCACTGCACATGAGATTGCTCTATGTCCACATTCATATGGACAATCTATGTCTGAACCCATGGCACACATATTAAACAAAGGCAGCTTGTACTGTGATAGGTGTTTCAATCAAACACGGAGTGAAAATGATCCTTGTTGATGATGATATGAAATCCAAAAACAAGCTTCTTTATGTGGTGCAGATGGATAAAGACAAACACAAACTTGGCTGTGGCATTCATTAAAACATGAACAATTACCTTGTGAAGTCACTCTGTCTTAAGACATTTCAAGCTAATGTGCACAGTCATGCTGACCATAACAGGAATGTCTGGCACTACTTAAACTAAGACTTAGCAATGCATGTAGTGTATTTACAAAAGATATTGCTCCAAAATCCATTAATGCTGCTAAATGCACAATCCGCTGTAACATAATGAGGCATAACAACCTTAAAACTCCTCCAACATCATTAACAACTCATCCCTTTATATGAGTGTGCAGGTTTGTCTCGCATCAACATTTCAGCAACAAATTCACTGTCTATATACCCAAAAGCATTCAAAACGTTTAAAAATTAGTGCAAAATATATGTCCTGTTTAATTGGACACATTGCATTTTGCATTTTGAAACAAAGGACATTCTGATGGGGTTGGGGGGACAAGATCTGAAATGTTACTCAGATGTAAATGTGCTGAAATGGCAACATGGATCATAACCATAACAAGTCTAAGCATAAGTTGATTTGGGAACAGAAAACGGTAGATAAACCAATAAATCTGCCTGTGCCTGCCTATATCAACTAAAAACTGTCACGGATTCAAAAAACACTCAAGAGTCTCCAGCCGAAATGGATGAGTACAGCACATTTATAAACAGAGAAGCCATCAATCTACCTCTGTTCCTGAATATGATAGAGTAGTTACAGCTGACGCGCTTGTCGAACGTGTTATACAACCAGTCATACCGCGAGAAAGAGTGCATCGGTAGAGAATCATTCAGCCCAATGAGTAGTACAAGCTTTTCCAAAAGGCACTGGAGTGTACTGGAAAATATCAATCATATTCATATTCAAAAAGCACCAAAAAAAAACAAACCAAAAGAATAATAACACAATCCACAGTTCAAAACATGCAAATACATCAAATGAATTGACATTCGTTGATATTGTAGTTAAAACCACTATCTGTGGCATGTGTTAAAGGCACCTAGTGTTAAACTGATCAAGCATCCCACAGGAAAAGAATAGAAGGAGAAAGTAATAGAAATACTTTCTAAGTCCTAGTGTTTCTGGTGGGGTTCCAACTTTATTAACATGCTTGTGTTCATCATTTAATGATTTGATCATTCTAAAGGCACTATCCGTACCAGAAATGTCCCTTAATACCTTGCATTTCCAGCAAATATTTTTGGCATGTGAACAAACAAACACAGTTACATGTGCTTGAAAGTGCCAAACAATTTGTGGTAGCAGTAAAACATGACTTGAGGTGCACACAAAACCAAATTGCAAGAGTCAAAAACATAAAAGAAATATATTAATTTTAAAAGCACAGTATGAGGTTGCTGCATTTTTGATGTACATGCATGCATCAGTGATAGCTGCAAACTGCTCCTCCAGACCCTCCTGCTCCTGAAACAGAGACTGGATTGTTCTTTCACACTTCCTCGTAGAAGGCCATCTGAGCCATGTAGGCAGAATTTCTCTGCAACAGACAGACATGACAGAATACGAACATTGTTACTGTCTTTTGAGGAATGCAAACTATTTCATGATAGGGATAAAAACCCCGACATTTTCTGCTGACTAAATTCTATTAAAGGGGTCATATGACGTCGCTAAAAAGAACATTCTTTTGTGTATTTGGTGTAATGAAATGTGTTTATGCGGTTTAAGGTTAAAAAAACACATTATTTTCCACATACTGTAAATTATTGTTTCTCCTCTATGCCCCGCCTTTCTGAAACGCGTCGATTTTTACAAAGCTCATCGGTCTGAAAAGTGAGGTGTGCTCTGATTGGCCAGCTATCCAGTGCATTGTGATTGGCTGAATACCTCAAGCGTGTGACGGAAATGTTACGCCCCTTACCATATTGTGATGCCGTGTCCTGGAGCAACCAGACAAAACCAATAAAACCCATTACAAACGAGACATTTGTTGCATCCAGTGGGGACATAATTACGGATTATAATGACTTGTACTGTCTTTTTACGTGTTGCGCTGCGTATCGCGCCGCGTAAACAAAACCATGTCTGCATTTGTGATCAGAGAAATGACAAACAACAAGTGCTACTCTACACTACTCAAAACACCGCATCTGAATCGTGAAAACATACTTACAGGCTGTAAGTCAGCATTATTTGTCAGAACACCGGCATTGTAGGCTACTCTCCCAGGAAACAGTCATCATCCTCCATAAATGTGTTGCACACATCTGAATATTTGGGTTGAACTGTTCTGGAACAGTGTTGTAAATACAACTTAACCACTGATTTCTAGTTGTGTCCTCTTTTGGAAGATCAAACAAAGTAGTTTTGCTTGCACAACAAAACAGCGTCTCCACGACATGGCAGCGGCAACAATACTACAGCGAGAATCAAAGTTACGCCTTCTTTCTTTGTGTAAACATTTGGGTGGTGTTATGCAAATCTTCCTACACATTGACGTAGACATGTGGGGGAGTGTTTAAATGAGGTGTTTTAGGAGGGCGTGGATGAGTCTTAACTTTTATAAAGAATATCTCTTTGGGTTTGAGATTTTAGTCTTTGCAACTTTAGGAATCTTATCTATTCACGAACAGCTTGTAACACTCCAAAGAGAAAGGAAAACTTTAAATCGCATCATATGACCCCTTTAAAATATTCATGTAATTTGACAGCAACCATCCACTTTGAAGTTCAGTGCAAGTAGTCAAATTTCTAAACCCATATATTATATAAACTATTTACATATTTATAATAAATAAATAAATAAATACAATCCACATTTTTAACAAATAAAACAGCCTTGGTGAGCATAAGAAACTTTACAAAACAAAAAAATTTACTGAACCTTTGTGTATTAGTGTATTTATTATATCAAGGTCAGTAAGATTTCTATGTTTTTGAAAGAAGTCTCATGTTCACCAAGGCTGCTTAATTAACCATGTAACAATGCCTATTTTCCCAAAAATTAGTTGTGGTGAGCATTCAGTATGTCTGAGTGTTTCTTACATTGCTGTGGGGAATATAAGGAGGTTCAGCGTAACTCCTGAGACTGTAGAGTCCAGCCTGTTGCTGCTCTTCCAACTTCAGGGACTCAATCTCTGATTTGAGCTCCTTCAGCTGGTCTTGAAGATGTTTGCTCTTTTCCATGTACTCTAGCCTGACACACACACACACACACACACACACACACACACACACACAAGGAGACAGCAGCATATATTCAGCTTCATTTTTCAATAGTTCTTCAGACAGAATGTGATCAACTGCATACCGTTCTCTCTCAATCTCCATGGAAAGTCTTTTCATATCGGAGTCCTTGAAGTCCATTCTTATGGAGCCGCCCATGTCTACAGTCATATCTGGACTCTCCGGCCCAGTGGGTGGAGGAGGGCTGGAGTATGCTGCTATTAACTGAGTGCATGACACAAATGACATGCTTTTAAATCATTATAAGGATAATAAACAGCAGAATACTTTTGTTACATGTCATAGCAACATTACAGGGTATGTTGGTTTGGTGATTTCCAGGAGTTTCTGCTTTGCCCTCCGTTCTGCATCTTTAGCCTCATTCAGATCCTGTTTCAGGTGGTCTGCCTCCTTCAATCTGAACCACAAAATACAAGACAAGAATTGA